ACAGCTTTGGTAGAAAAAGAACGAGTTCTTCAAAAGCAACTGGAAAAATTGCAGGCGTCATCGGAATGCACACAGAAGAAAATAAATGGTGATTTTGACTTAAAATTACTACCTTAACATTTATCAAATAACTAGTTAACTGAATTACGACTCGTCTTGGCGCGATCAGGTTGTGAGGCAAGTTACGAGGAGAGGGGAGAGGGGGTAAGGGTAGAGGGAGACGGTAGAACATGAGGGCAGAGGGACGGGGAGGTGAGGATTGGGGTGGTGGGTAGTTTAGGCCCCCGAGGATTTCAGAATTATTGACTGGAAAGGAGCTGAGATCTTGCTTAAATGTAAAAGTTGAGAACAGGGGAGAAGTTTGCAGGGAAGGAAGGTGAGCCTACACAGTTTTTTTCATACTCAGCATGAAATTTGGTGAAGGGAGGGGGGAGGAAGCGAGGGAGTGGGGGGAAGTTAGCAATTTTGAATACAACATCTAATACCTTATATAAACATAAAACTCGGTATAACGATTTTTGCAACTCGGATTCGTGTCCTAAACGACCCAAAAAGAGTGGATATTGCGCGGCCGAGGCGAGTTTTCGTAATTGACAAGTAAATATACAAATAGTTGTAAAAAATAAAGGTATAAAATGCCAGCAAATCAAATCGATATAAGAGGGTGAAAACGAGGTGAGTGTGAGGAGAGGAAAACACTGGAAAATGAGAAATGTAGAAAAACCGGAGCTGTAAACTTGTTCACATTTGTAAACAAAAAAAAAGCAAATGTTGATGTAGAAAACAACTGCTACATATTCAACAAGAAAAATTTATGAGCATCATCCTTGCTAATTATTTTTCAATCAATTCTGGTATTGATCAAAAAAGGTTTCATGTTTTTTTAATGTGTGAAAAGTGTAAAAGTTATTGATGTAAGAAAAAGGGGAATGGTAACTGTCAATTTTTACATTTCCTGAAAATCCTATTTTTATCGGGAATATTTCAGAATACCGAGAAAATCTCGCAAATGTTCAAAATGAAATTAATGATGCAGTTGCTGGTGACTGCATTCTTTGTGGCGACATGATGATTGAGTAAGTTGCTTTTGCTGCACTACCTCAAGCCGTATTCCGGTTAAAACTTCCCTCACGTTGTTTTTTAAGGAGGCATTTTGAGGTAGTTAGTTCATTTGATAGCTGAAGACATCTTCCTAATTAGAGCTGTCTGGGACGTATGCTGGTGTCTATTCAGTTGTGATTTTGCTAATTTTTTTAAATTTTTTCAGCTCAATCGATAAGCCGTTTTTTGAGGAAGCGGAGTATGAAGC